CAGGTCTTGTGTCACGTCTTTGCTGGATGTTTTTCCTGTTTCTTAAGGACATGACTTTCAGATACTGTTAATCTGCTGTAAATAGATGTTTAGGCCTGTCACTTCTTCTTTTGGCTGTCACTTGTCTGGTTTTCTCAACGTTTTCAAGGACACACTGAAGATCATGATAAGATATGTGAAGTATTTGTCTTATAGCTCAAAACAAACAAACAAAACCTCAGTTTTTGTTTGTCAAACTGTTATCTTTGGCATTTTTCTTAGAGTCAAAGGAAGGTGAACAAGTGATATGTTTTTGGAACAATTTGCTAGAAACAAAGTGCCTAAAGATGAAATGTAATATTGGTTCTTTACAAAGTTATGTGTAGACAAAACACTGGCTAATCTCTTGAGTTAGGCATCTGAAAAATGAATAAAAAACTCAATAAAAAATTTTGATAGAGCTTTAGAAAGCCTGCAGAATTATTACTCAAACCCAAGACTTAGTTGGTCTTGTTCTTGAGCAAGATCAAGCCAACTGACCAGCCAGGGACTGCAATCGGCAGATTTCCAGCATTCTTGGCCCTGACTGATGACCGGCTCATAATTCTCCTATAGGTGCTTCTAGTTAATTGGAAGTTTTTCCTCCCTGGTCTGGAAAGCACAATAGCGTTGTTTGCATAATGCCTTTTGCGAATCACTTACCACCAGACTCTTAATGTTTTTCTTGTCAATAAGTTGTGGCGATGCAATTGGAACAGCTGCACTAGTGTCCACCTTCCACCTTTATTTTTTCCTCTGCTTGTGGGCATCTTTCTTCAGTATATAAGGGTAGACTCGCACTTGTCAGTGTATGCTTCTGGAAGACTTGTAGCTTCAGGATATGCACTCCCCGGACTGCTTACATTTGAAGAAAAGACAGCAAGTAATTTATCTGCAAGGCTGAGATTTAGAAAACCTCATGCTTACATTTAAACTACAAAAATAAAAAGAGATGCTCAAAATTTCTCTGAAAAGTCTTCAGACTTAGCCAAACGTGCTCAAGTATTATTGCTGTAAATCTGTCCTCGGCTGTTGTCGCTCTTCACATTTTGTTCTGTTTTTCTTTCCCTAATGGTGTTTGCTGCTGCATTTCTCCTTCAGTCTTTCATCACAATGATAACCATGTAAAGTAAAAGCTTTTGATTACATAACTACTTCTTGGAAATGGCAGCGCTACCCAACAAAGGCAAACAGAGGTCCTTTTTCCAGTGTGTTTGGTAGTTATTTCTCCATTTAAAAGCTGTGGTTGAACTGGCCTGTCCACAAAGACGACAGATAAAACGTTCCCTCCTTCTGCATGTGCTTGGAAGTGCATTCTTAGTTTCTCTTACTTGAGCAGCTGGCTCTCCTCAGCTCGGAGTGGCAGAACGGCTGCCACGCTCGGCGTCGAGCACCAGCTGGGCCATCTTTGATGCGATCTCAGTGTGGCACCAAAGAAACGATGTGCAAGGCGAGGTCACGGGTTGTGTTTGTTTGCCCTGGTGCAGCAGGGGAAATGGACAACATGTGCTTGATTTCTTTTCATGGCTCGGACTTCCTTCATGGTCACAGTTAAACGGATGCATAACTGGAGAGCAATAACAGCGAATAGCCCGTTTCTGACACAATATCAGTGCATAAATTGTTATAATTACTGCCGTGGGTACAGCGAGGGCAGATAGGTGGAGAATTTTTTAAATTTATTTATTTAATTTCACAGATGTGGCTGATAAATCTTTTATTTTGTGAAACTTTTTTGCGGTCAGTCAACTCCAAACACAGTGTTGAATCATTTGCTGCTGGAGCTGCTTTACTAATTTGCTTTCAGTTTTCCAGTAGTGTATTAATATTAGGGCTGTGCGATATGACCAAAAAGCTCATATCCCGATATAAGACATCTATCGTCCCGATAACGATATAAATCACAAAATTTTAACATTTTCTGTAAATTCTGTGAATCTCGGGCAGCTCGACTTGCGTGAATTGTTTCCAGCTGGGCGTCGTGTACCTGGAGTCGAGTGTTTTAACAGATGCATAAAACTATACATTTTTAGTCATAAGTTGTAACAGCCGCTGTTTTCTTTGAGTATTTATTACACAGCGTGCTGCGGGGAAAAGCCTGTTCTAACGTTTGAGTCTAAGGTTTATTTTTTAGCACCTAACGGTTCTTTTTTGCTTCTCATCCGTAAACGCTGCATACTCTTTCACGTGATTTAGTTTATTTTGAAAAGTCTCAACAGGATCTTGAGCTTTATTGTGAAAGGTTTATGTGGAAAAAAAACAAGCAGACGGCGTAGCCACGCAATGGTTTTACCATCATTGTTGCTAACGACAACGCATAAAAACAGTCGCTTGTTCGTCCGTATTGTGGTTATATTAAATATAAGAGACAGAGAGAAGAAATTAATATAGCCACTACAGTGACCATCAAAACAGTGAAAAATATTGCCATAAACAGTTTATTTTGCGACACCACGAAACAAACGATAGCGTAATAGGAAACGATAGACGTTTTTATATCGTCATCCGATATATATCGTTATATTGAACAGCCCTAATTAATAATGCCATCACAACAAGAAGTAATATGAGATGATAACATGAATGTTTGTTATCATCTTATCATGATAATTCTTTTCATGTCAGTTGATGTCTATGATGATATAAATCGAGTCATTATTTATGCCAGTTTTTAAGGTCCCTGTTTTCTCCTGAGATGCAAAGTTGTAACTTAATTTTTGGTTAAAATATTTGATTAAATTTTTCATTCTGACCAGTCAGAAGCTTCAGGTGTTATAGAAGAACACAAACTAAATGAAAAACTGAAGTCTTTGGTCAGTTCCAAATAAATAATGTAGATAAAACTAGAAGTTAGAATTACTAGACACCCTGCGATATGATGATGTTGTCATTTTTACATTTTGCGATATGATGACTACTCTTGGTTGCTGGGGATCAGTCCGCCAGGGCCTTCTGTTCCTGGTCACCGCCCGGAACACATTGCACCTGATCCCTACGGCGCCTCCTGCGGGTAGTGGGCTTGCAGGAGGATGTGCCCATGTCCCTTTTTCAGGCTATGCCCGGCCGCCCTCGGGCAACCTCCCCAGGCCTGGCTCCAGGGCAGACCCTGGTAACCCTGTCCCGGGCAGGGTGAACTGTTCCCTGGATCTTTCACTCATAGGGCCTGAACCTGAGTCTGAACTCCTCACCCTCAGAGATGGGGTGAGGAGTTCAGCCATCCGAGAGCGGCTCAGAGTAGAGCCACTGCTCCTCCACATCAAAAGGAGCCAGTTGAGGTGGTTCTGACAAGGATGCCTACTGGGTGAGGTGTTCTGGGCATGTCCCACCAGGAGGAGGCCCCGGGGCAGACCCAGGACACGCTGGATAGATTATATTTCTCGACTGGCCTGTGAACGCCTTGGTGTTCCCCAGAAAAGCTGGAGGAGGTGGCTGGGGAGAGGGAGGTCTGGGTTTAGGCTGCTCCCCCCACGACCCAGTCCCGGATAAGCGGTAGGAGATAGATGGATGGATATGATGAGTATTGCATTGCAGTCCATCACATTTTTTTCAACAGAAAATGATGCCCTTAAAGTTAAACTTTGTCAGTATCCAGTTAGATAAAGTTATCTCACTTCAGGTTTTTCCCCCCCTGAAAAAAGAAGCACACCAAACACTGTCACTAAATTGGCTATAAATGATGCCATAACACAGGGTTAAAGTTGCCAGCTATATATGCATTCTGGTTCTGATAATACAGCAATTAACTGTTAGAAATGATCAAAAATCATCATCTGTTGTTCTTCACATAAACAGAAGTCTGTAGGAATAGAACCAGAATCCAGCCAGCTGAGCCGAGTCCCCTCAAGTTGTGCTCATTTTAAGGACTCATTCAAACGGATGGCACCATGTTGCAAATTGGTCTGCATTTATAAATTAGACAGCAATTCTTTGTAAACCTTCCAACAATCTCTGTGAGAGCGATTGCAATCAGTCCAAATCAGACTGCAACTGTTTGCAGAAAGGTTGCCTCATACAAGGCAACCTGTGCCAATCACCTTCAGATCAACACCACCATAAGCTGTGATCTGTCACAAAACGTGAAAAAATTCAAAACAGTCATCAGGCAGTTGTGTATTTTTTTTATTTGGATGTAGGGAGGCTTCTGTTTTTACTCGTGTGATTGAGCCGTTAGCTTGCTCTAAATTACGAGGTACAGTTGACAAGCTAAGTGTGTCCAGTGTTGGATGATTTGTTTGTTTTTTGGGTTGAACTGATTTAATGCAAGTTTGGTCAGCTGACTTAGGTGCATGAGATTAGCTCTCTTGTTCATAGCATTCCCAAAGTGTTTTCATTTATTTAATAAAATATCAGTATTTGGTGTCCAGGACTGCAAAGTCTTGTTTGTTGTGTACAGTAATACTGTTGCTCGGGTTGTCATTAGCATTGTCCAATGTTATTTGGTCTTTTTCTCACTCACACTCCTAACATTCTGGTGTGTACGGCATTAGCAGCCCAAACATGAGCTGCCAGCCTATCCTGACGTGGCTTTATTCTATTCCAAAAGCATGATTGGCTCGGCTCGGTGCAGCGCTGTTCTTATTGCCATTGGCCTTTCCAGATGTTTGCCAAAACAAGGATGGACTTATTTCTATTGACTTTATATTGACCGTGCCTGATTGTTATCATTTTACCTGGTTTCCAGCCCTAATGTACATATGCAGTAAATGTAAGAGCTAAAGACCTCCAGCAGATGCGGAGCTCAGAGTCGGCTGCTGTACTCCCACAGGCAGGAGAGATCTCTACGAGATATACTGCAAAAGCTTTCTTCTGCAGCAAGCTGAAATCCTAACCTGATATTTATCTGCAGAAGAGATTTTGGAAGCTGACGTCAGCCACGCTGTGACTTTGTAAAGTTCTTACACCACGCTTCTTTTCTTTGCAGACGTGGATGTTTGCATGCGACACACAGAATTGAGCCGGTGTTATTTTTGTGTTCCTTCCAGGCTGTTCGGTGCTACGATTCACTCATCCTTAAGGCCGAGGGCAAAGTGGACCCTGAGTTATTCTGCCAGCTGGGCCACTTCAACCTCCTCTTGGAGGATTATCCGAAAGGTGAGTCATCTCTTCTCTTCACCTGCACTGAAGTGGGTTATACGCTCTTTGTTTTTTTTCCTGCCACTGTTTTGGTCGAATAAATGATTTCTATTTCAGCTGTCATGCCTTTTGAGTACGTTTCACATTTTTAAGCACAGTAGTTATTGTTCCTCTAAGAACAAACCTTCAGCTTGCTGCTTAGTCTTTTCCTCTCGTAAATCTCTGTTTGCATCTCCTTACAGCATTATCAGCATACCAGAGGTACTACAGTTTACAGTCAGACTACTGGAAGGTAAGACACGCAGGCCTACACGTTCACTTTCCCTTATTGTTTGTGATATTCTCACCTTCTTTTACTCTCACTCTAACACACACACACACACACACACACACACACACACACACACACACACACACACACATTTCCCACACATACACCGGAAGCACGTTTGGTCTCAGCTGGGTTAGATGTTGGTGTAAGATGCGGTTTCAGGTTTCATGTCAGTCATTTTCACTGTTTCCTGCAAAGTTGACACTTGGCGGTGAACCTAAATTCTAGTTTTGTTTTTTGTTTTTGTTCTTTTTAATCAAATTCTATCAGGTGCTGCAGTGTTATATAATCAGTTAGCCACCAGTTTCTTTTTTCACCCCACTGACGTCTAAATTTATTCTGTCCATTTTAGTAGCACATTAGCAAATCTTCACATAAGTTTAGTACCTTTTGGGTTGCTGTAATTTGGTAGGTTGATTTGCTATAGTTAAAAAAAACCCAAAAAACTCCATTGTTTGGTAGCTAAATAATTGCTCACCTTTCTGTCTTTACTCCCAGAATGCCGCCTTTCTGTATGGCCTCGGAATGGTCTACTTCCACTATAATGCCTTTCAGTGGTGAGTGGCAACTTCTTTTTTTTCATTATTATTAATATTATTTCTTCATTTGGATAGACACAGGGTGAGTCTGCTGAGATCATTATTATTTATGTAATAAATGCACTGTGAATCTCTTCTGGGGCTGTTCTGGATTAAAGAGAAAATCACATCGGGGCTGTGGCAGAATGGTGGTAGATGGGGAAAATGTCACGCTGCATTATGCTGAGCGTAAGTGGATGGATATCAGCTAAACAAGAAAAAATACTGTTGTTTCTTAATGTTTGCCTTTAAAAAAAATAATTACACTTTTTAAAAACAGATTTCATGTGGCTTATTGGACTAGTAGGCTGATAAGATACAGTAGTTACCTTGATGGTAGGTTGGCTTTGTTGTTTGCTATTGTGGGTGATATAACCTCAAAATTATGTCAAAATATGTCAAGGCAATTTGCAATAATCATATTTATTAAAAAAACAAAAAGAAAACTAAGAACTAAACGAGGTTTCACAGGTGATTGTAGCTTGCGGGCAGCAGTTTTTATTAGTGCAAATAAAAAAGAGGGGTGTTTTCCATCCTTGTTTTATAGTGAGCTGAACTTGTTAACACTAGATTCAGGCAGCAGCTTCAGAGTGCAATAGTTGTGACATGGCATAAATTAAATTCAAGCACAAAAACAGCCACATAGTGTTCCTAGGATGTTTTTAAATGATGATATTCTTTAGTTTTTCACTGAGTGTATTATCGTGGCAGTCTCATAAATTCATAAATATCGGTCAAGCTGCGTTCACTTGCACATAAGTACGTATGTAAACTTCAAAACCAAAATAGTCACCATCAAAATAAAAGCAAAGTTTTTGTGATTTTGAGGATAAATCGCAAAAACCAGTAATCCATTCTCTGTTGGAGTTTATCAAAGTGTGTTTGGTGCCTGATGTAAACTTATTTACATTTGAATCCTAATTTCCCATTGACCGCATGTGGGCTGTTCAGGGACCCGTTAGATGAGACAATCAATGCCATTCTCATGCCTAGATTATGGATATGCCTGTTAGCTGGATTTAGATAAAGAATGGTTGGCACCAATTTGTGAATCTATCAGCTACTCTGCTAACTCAGCCTCTGTGGACAATTTGTAAGTGTGTTTTAGGACATTTGAGGGGTGTACCACGAAGCCAGATTAACGGGTTGGCAAGCTGGGTTGAGCTTAAAGTCTGGGTTTTCTGAGTGAATAGTCATGTGATGCGTGGAACGCACCTTTTTACATGAGCACACACAGAGCCTATAGCAGACAGCCTCGCTTAACAGAGGAAGCCAATAACCACCTCATAAAACGGCATCATAAAACAACATCACCAGACAGCAGCCACTGCTTATAAAATGTATCTCAGGAAATAAATCCCTCCTTTGTTCTCCACATGGACTGTTGACCTGCATGCATCCGAAGAATGCCCATATGTGATTGGTCACTTAGTAATACTCTGTCTACAAGCAGGCTACAAATACTGCTCAAAAGTGATCCAATCCACCGACTGCTCATTTATTAAACCCACACCAAATCCGTGAAGTCTTTGGCAGCAGCACACCTATGATCAGTGTAAAGTATTTGAGCAATTTCAAATATTAAAATTAAAAATATTGGTGTGCTCTACTGATGCAAGACAGAACTTGCATGCCTCAGAAGATGGCACTTTGAAACGGCACCAACAGTGAGCGCAACGATTCAAGGGAGCTATCCAAAGAAGCGTGCCTCTGTGATTACACAGCTCAGTTGTAGTCTGTATATGTTTACCAGCTGAAAATCTGCCTTTGATGGTGAGCTGTCCTGTCTTGTTTCCATAGCAACGCCACGGCCAGCAAGAGAGACTCTGTTCTGGCTGAGTTGCCAATAAGAATCAGCTAAATTAGATTCTTCGAGATGCAGACATCAGCAAATCCAGCTGTTAGCAGCTGCAGGCAAATTCCACCGAGGCATCGTTTTCAACACGTTTTATTTTCAGAGACATTTTTCAGATGTCAGGACATTTTTTACCACTTGCTTCTTTTGTGGTTTCCAGTGGTACATACTGTCGTCTAATGCACGTTTATCTACTATTTGAATTTATTTGCCATCACAAATCATCATTATCTGACTCTCACTGGTGCCATTGAATGAAGCGGCCAGTTGAGAGCTGGAGAGCTAACTCAGAGATAATTGTCTTCTTGCACAGATCTGCATCTGTTCTGTTTACAGCCACTTTGGATGGTTCTGTGAAGGGAGTAGTATGCTCTGTTGTAAGAAATCTTCAGTCTTTGGTCGGTTTTCTATATGAAACGGTCTTTACTGCTTATTGAAGAGGACTCAGGGTGCTTTATATTGTAAGGTAGAGAGCCTACAATAGTAGAGAGAGAATCTGAACACTCAGGTGACCCCCATGAGCAAGCACTTGGTGACAGTGGGAAGGAAAAACTCCCTTTAAACAGGAAGAAACCTCTGACAGAACCAGGAGATGAGACAAAGACGCACTGTGGAAGTGGTGAATGTGTGATGATGTAACCTGCGGCGCATGAAACGACCAATGTGGTGGGTATAGTGGCGGCTTAAAGGGTGTCCACACAGGAAGTAATGTGTCATTTAGGTCGCAAGCTGACATACTATTTGCATAGAAATGACTAATGAATTTGTTGATGATGAAATGTCATTTAACACATTTCTGGTCAGTTTGGAGCTTGTTAGAAACCCTCAAAAAGCGTTAAATAAAAGCTTAGATTGCTTAAACTTTTTATTGTGTGTAACAAACAGGGTGCGTTCTCAGTTTCCAGGGAAGAAGCATCTTTAGTGTTCAGTAGAAGATGGCACGCTTGCAGCGTGACTGGAATAAGCAGCTGCTGTCGGAGATCAGCTTTTGCTAATACCTCAAGTTTTTCTCTGAATCTAAATGTTTTTATTAATCACCCTTCTCTTTTTTTTTTTCCCCCGCCCGCCACCGCTTCCTTTTAATTCTCCCACAGGGCGATCAAAGCATTCCAGGAGGTGCTGTACATTGACCCGGGGTTCTCCCGGGCTAAGGAGATCCACCTGCGCCTAGGTCTCATGTTCAAGGTCAACACAGACTACGAGTCAAGCCTAAAGGTACGTGCAGCTTAGAGTCGCGCATCACTCTTGAACGAATCCCGAGAAGCGGCGATGAAGCGAACAAAAGGAAAGGTGGATTTTCTCAACAGCAGCGGTTTCCCACTTCAAGCTGACCTTGAAGCGTGAAACGAGCGAGCAGAGCACGACACAAAAAGGATGGGAGCTCCCATTCAGTGCCTGAATAAGCTGGCAGCTAGTGACAAATATAAGAGTGAATAAGTGATTGATTCTGTGTACTCATTTCTCTCTCACAGCATTTTCAGCTGGCTTTGATTGACTCCAACCCCTGCACTTTGTCCAAAGCTGAAAGTAAGCACCTTTTCTACTTATTTGAGTGTTATGTTATTAATTGTATCTAACCGCTTTTGTGAATATGCATCATTACTTTTTATTCTTTCAGCTCTCCCCTCCGTCTTTTCTCCTTTCACCATCCTTCTGTACGCAGCGTTAGACCGGTGGTCTGCTGCTTTCGCTTCAGTCTACTTAGAGCACTGGAATTATTTGATATGCTGCTCCCATCTCATCTCGCCCGCCGTGCTACCTGTTACCTTGGTGATAGCAATATCCATTTTTGCCTAGGCTCCCGCTGTTTGCCTTTGCTTCTTTGTGTCCCCCCTCACTGCTTTTCTAACTCGCTCACATACGTAGCAAGGGCAGCCCCCATCTTACTCCCCACCCCCCACCCTCTCTCTTTCTCTCGCTTGTTCGTGCTCTCTCTCTCCCTCCTCTCCACTCTCTCTCTCCCTCTCTCTCCCTCTCCATCTGCTGAGAGTCACTCAGGCAGCTTAGATCAGACACTGCAGCGCTCCAGACAAAGGAAGGTGCTGCCAGGAGCACAGCTTACCTACCTGCTCTGTTCATGTAGACTGGGCCAGCCTCGGGTTTCTGACACCTCTTTTTTTTATTGACAGCTCAGCACTACTTTCCAAAGACTTTTGGAAACACACTGAGGAGGGACTCAGTTTTTCTTGAAATGTTGAGTAACCTCTAACACGCTTGTGTTCTTGTCTCTCTCTCTCTCTTTTTTTGTAGTTCAGTTCCACATTGCTCATCTGTATGAGATTCAGGTAAGTGTTTGATGCTTGATTCGACCTGCACTTGAGCTCTGCTTGCTCTCAAGGGTACAAGACTAGATTTGCCCCCACCCCCCCATCTATGCTGAGTAATTGAGAAGGAGGGGGGGGTGTAAGTGCTGCATGTCGATTGAATGTGAAACAGCGAGGCGAATAGCTTTGACTTAGCGGTGTAAAAAATAGCAGGGCGTCTGAATGCCGGGGATTGCCCTGTTTCCTATTTTCTCTTTTTTTTTTTCTTCCTTTTTTAAAAAATTTGAACTACGTGCTGACAAATTGAGGATGGAGCAGGGTGCTCGAGTGGGTGGCGCGCGGGAGGGGATAGGAGATTACTCTCGGCCGATCGACAGGGTTGCCACGGAAACAAGAAAGTCTGTCTCCCCCTCTTTTGTATGCTGGTGGTCTCCCTCTCTCTGTCTCTGTCTTTATGTAGGTTTCATTGGCGAGGTACAGTAGCTCTCGGCAGCTCAGGGATGCGTTTATCTTTTTTTTTTTTTTTAATTATTTTTTATTTTATTTTATTTTATTTTATTTTATTTTAAATTGTGCTCTGTCAGAACACGCCGCTGCAGTGAAAGACCCCCAGCTAAATTAAGAAGGGTGGGAAGTGCAGTCAGCATGATTACTACATTCCTGTCTCCTGCTGCAGGTTAACAGAGATGGAAAGACGGCCAAAATAGCAACTATAAAAAACTATAAACTAAAAGCTATAGGTCTACACTGTGTTGGTTTTTGTTTGTTTTGTTGTTGTTGTTTTTTTTTTAAACTTTTTTACTCCTTGTTACACTTCCTCTTATCCTTTTCCCATATCCAGAAGAAATACCGGGCTTCCAAGGAGGCTTACGAGAGCCTTCTGCAGACAGAGGATCTTCCTGCGCAGGTGAAGGCCACTACCCTGCAGCAGTTAGGTAAGGTTTTCTAAGGATATATCATAGTTTTGATATTTCTTAAAAACAAACACACAGTTGGGTAATTGGATATATTCCCAGGCTGGATGCATCACACGGTGGAGCAGCTCGGGGACAGAGGAAGCAGGGACAGCTATGCCATCCAGTGTCTGCAGAAGTCTCTGGAGGCCGACCCTAACTCTGGACAGTCCTGGTACTTCCTTGGCAGGTATGCTGCACACCGGAAAAACAGCCTACAGAGGATTGTAGTGTTTGATACTAGTGTGCTCCTTACCTCTGCTTTCTTGAAATAAAGCAATAAAATAATGGATTGTGAGGCTCTAAAAGCAGTGTGTGGGCTGTTTGTGAGTCCTGGACAGCTGAGCTGGACAAGCCCCAATTCCTTTCTGATTAGCTCAGACGTCTATGCATTAGTGGCTAATGCTGCTGGCTAGCTGCTTCTAGGCATGTATTTCCAGCTCCATATTTTTATTTTTCAACTTCATTAGAGTGGCTTTGCATGATTAGCAGTTAAAAATAACCCCCATTAACTTTGGGCTCCTTGTTCTTACTCTGTCTGAAACAAGCAGTTCTAGCTCACTTTACTCTCCTTTTAAGCTACTTTTAATCTATTTTAATTCTAATTGGCTCCCCCTCACAGACTGAAGAGCTTCCTTCTTTCCACTTTTTTATTTTTCTCTTTTTCTTTTTGTTGTGTTTTGTTTTTTGTTTGTTTGTTTGTGACCACACACTACTCCACTGAGAATTTACATTCCAGTTCAGCATCTATGCATGCACCCCGGGCAGCAGACTTGAAGCGAACGTCAGGACTAGAACAGGAGTAGCTACTTAAGAATTGGGTTTTCAGCTGTCTGTGTCCTCAGTGGATTAAAATCAAGGCTTAAGAAAAAGCATGGGAAGTTGGGCTGTGTTGTAAAAGGTTTATTGAAGGTGAAATTTAAACCCATAGCTTGGCAATATCAGCACTGTGTTCTCTTTGGTGGTTGATCAGGGGAGGCACATTCTTTTGGCGCATCATTTTGTGTATTGGTCGTCACTTTTTGGCCGAAAGCAGATTAGTAATGGAGGTGAGGAGAATCAGAAATTGCCACTACCACTTTACACAGGGCTTCATTTTCCGATGTTTTAATTTCCTTAATGACTCTGTGGGTGAGCCTTCTCTATTGCCATTGTCTAGTTGATTGAAAGTATTTGTTCTATTATGGATCTGGTAACACCAGGTGTCAGCTGTGTTACCCTTTAAGCATGTTAAAGGGTGGAATTTGTAAAGAGGAATGTATTTTTGGAATATTATTTCCATATCGTGACAGCCTTTGTCTTTCCACAGGTGCTACTCAAGTATTGGGAAAGTCCAGGATGCCTTCATGTCTTATCGGCAATCCATAGACAAATCAGAGGCCAATGCAGACACCTGGTGCTCAATAGGGTAACTTTTGTATTTAAAAGTAATCTATTACTTGTTTTCACAAAGAAAAATATTTAAAACCAGTTTTTTCTGAATCATCATTATAATTTTTCTTCCCCCTTCTATCGTCATCCTCCCCTCCCTCTTCCCCCCTCTGCCCCTGTCCTCAGGGTGTTGTACCAGCAGCAGAACCAGCCCATGGACGCTCTGCAGGCGTACATCTGCGCCGTGCAGCTGGACCACAGCCACGCCGCTGCCTGGATGGACCTGGGCACGCTGTACGAGTCCTGCAACCAGCCGCACGACGCCATCAAGTGCTACATCAATGCCACTCGCAGCAAGGGCTGCACCAACACTGCTGCGCTAACCCACCGCATCAAATGCCTGCAGGTGGGTGGTGAGAAGGATTTCATAGAAGAAGCAACCATGCAATGGCTGTTTGGATGGGTATATAGCGTCAGCTGGATTATTTTGTTTGAAGAAAATTTAACAGAAGTGCAAAGATATTTGTCTAACAGCAACAGTGAGGTTTTCATAAATGGTTTTCCCCAGGTTAGGCAGTGGAGTAGCTTTAATTGTAGCATGTTGAGATGAGAACGCTTACTGAAACTGCTGGTTGCGATTTCCTTCTTACAATTGCAGGATAAAGTTAGCGTTTTTACATTTTAGGGTCAAATCTGTGTTTCTGCATTGTGACATAAATATGATTTGACTTTCACACAATGCCTTTAAAGCAGATAAGCACATCCCAGTTTGCATATCTGTGAGGGGAGGGTGTCAAGTAACCTCGTGATTTCAGTCAGTGAGGTGGCAGTCAGGTGAGGTGGGGTGGCCTGTTTTTATTTTCAAAACAGGAATCTGATCTTCACAACACGTCTTTGAGGAAGAGAATTGTTGCACGAGGAACCAAGTTTTCTGAGAAACTTGCAAAAAGAGCTGTGGATGCTCAGCAGGCCAGAGGAGATTACATAACCATCTGAGAAGAGTTTGGATTCGACTGATCTGCAGTCAGACTGCTGTTGCCAGTAAAGGAGAGTTATCCTCTATGCTTCTTCATAGTCTGGTTCCTGTGCAACCTGAATTATGTTCCCAGACTAACTTCTAAACAGGTTGAGCCTCCCATATTGGCTCATGTTCCTGAGTCCACCAACAGCAGAGCGCTGATTAACAGTAATATTAATGGCTGGCCTACAAGGAGAAAGCCACCGCTCTCCATAAAGCATACTGCTACCCATATGCAGTTTACTGATGATCACATGGGTGAGCCAGCTGCTGGAACTATGTTTTGTGGACTTAGGAGACTAAAATAAATTGTTTTGGTCAAAGAAAGGGAAACGGTGCATAGGAAAGTGTGAAGCACAGCGGTGGTAGTATCATGGTTCGGTTCTGTTGTGATGTATATCGGCCAAGCTGGCTTGTTCTTCCTGACACAACCATCCCATTTATTCAAGCTTGGGGCCGGCTTGTGACCTCCCGAGGCTGGGTTTGTCTTCCTGTCTTATGCAAAGTCAAATAGAAATGCTGTGGAAGGGCCTGAGGAAGCTCACCAGCATCTTGAGATTGATTGCATTCTTTTTAATGAAATAGTTTAAATTTCCTCCAAGCTAAGCCAGACTGATCAAAAGGCGAAACCTTTAGCTGCAGTTATTGCTGTAAAAGTGGCTCACAGGCTGTTAAGAGCTATGGCTCAGTTTCCCTCCTCACAGATATGCAATGCTGGATCATCTGTATCGAGAAATGAATGGATGTCCAAGTTTAATGTTTTCACTTTTAAGGTATTTATGTGGACATGAGGAGAATCTTTTTCCTGTAATTGTAAGTGCTATGTGAATAAGCATCATTGGGCTTTGTGTTTTTTTTTTTTCAACCAATCAAAAGACGTGTAACCTACTTTATCCCTGATTGAAGTTTGCTTTAATTTGTTGGAGCTGCTCTGGGGTTCACCGGAGTTGTTTGGCGTGGCTCATGCAGATAACGGGCAGAAAACAGTGCAGTGAACGCCACAGACACAAAATGATACCAGTGCAGGCTTCGTAGTAGACTCCCTTTAGCATTAGTAGCCTCTCCCTTTTTCTGAACCTTCCTAATCCTAAAACTCCCTTGCACTTGGATAGCAACGCATGTGGTTTCTAAAGGGCTCTTCTCCAGTACCTTCATCTTCTTCTCTGCCTTTTGCTGTTCCTTACCATCCCTTTGAGGTTTAAATTAAATCATTCCTAAGGGATGCGATTAGACAAGCACAACAGAGACTTCAGAGGTCAAAGAATAAACCTGCTACACCCTTTTAGAAATAATTAGGTCTCCTTTTTACGGATTTCGAGAACGATTGGCGCTAACGACAGCTGACGTTAGCTGAGCGAAGTGGCCCTCAGCGACCCCGCATCTCATGCGTTAATTTATTCATCTATGCTGTCATTTTTTTTCCTTTACATATGCATGAAGGAATGTTACATTACCACCCAGTTTACTATAGCATAATTTCATGGCATTAAGACAAGCTCCACTGGCTTGTTTTAATGGACACTGTGACTGTGTTTGGGATCACTGTTGCTGAATGTACCTCCTCATGTTGTTAATGACATGACTGTAGGGTTGAGTTAGCCAGACCAGTGCAAGTTGGCATAATCACTGTCAGATTCTCAACTTGGCTTCACTTGTTGTTTTATTTATTTATTTATTTTTAACCTCTGCCAACTTACCATTGCTAATCATTTCTTTGTTTTGAGGTCATCGTTTTCAAAAAAAAAAAAAAAAGTAAAAAAGAAAAAGCCTTGTGTTTTATTATTTTTTTATTTTTATTTTTTTCACGTCGTTCTCCATTCCCCTAGGCTCAGTTGAGTAACCCCCAGCTCAGTAGCCTACAGAGTAAAAGTAAAATGCTCCCTCTTATTGAGGAGGCATGGAGTCTGCCAATCCCAGCTGAGCTAACCTCCAGGCAGGGAGGCCTGAGCAGTGCACCACAGCAGGTGAGAGACCAGATAGAGCAACTTACCCCACCCACTCCTCCTTCCTCCCCTCTTCTTGCCTCCCCCCGCCTCCTGCCTCCCCCTCCCTTCCTCTGAGTCCAAACTCAGACACTTAGGCTCTCGAAACACACACGCACACACCCGCAGGGCAGCACACACGCATGCACTGTCGTACATAACGATGGGTAACGCTTGAGCTCAATAACAAGGCGACCCCTCAAAATAAAAACGCCTTTATTTCTCTGCTGCCCTCACGATTGGAGACCTCGACTGCATTGCGAGTCTTCTTTTGTCGCAGCTTATCGCAATTGGCTACTGCTAGAAGCTCACGGGGTCACGGCCGCTTCACAGCAAAACCGAGCCAAGTGCTATCCATCCGCTGCACTCCCTTCTCCTTTTTTTCCTTTTTTCTTTTCTTTGTTTTTTTTGGCCTCCAGCAGTCACATGGCTTCACCCATCACGCTCAGTTTGATTCAAAAACCGAAAAAATCCGATAAATGATTTTTTTCCTCATTATTTTTCCTCTCGATTTCTTCTTTTAATCCTTTTTTTCCTAAATCTAACATGGTATTCGGGATTACACCCCACCCCTAGTCTCCTCCACCCCCCCTCCCTCGTCATGATCAGATTAAAGGGCTCTAATTAAAAGTAAAGTGGCTGTGTTTCTACTTCTCACACACACTTTGCCTCTTTCTTTTTTTTATGCGTTCTCTTTTTTGTTTTATGCGTTCTCTTTTTTGTTTTGTTTTTTCCCTGGTGGGGGCTTTTCTTCACCCTGCCTCGGTGTGATCGGTGAGGTCGTGCTGCCATAGACTGTCCCCAGGCTTCCTATTGGCTCTGTTCGTCTTCCTCCTCCCCACCCGCCTCCCTTTCCTCCCCTTCCCTCTTCATTAGCTGACCTTAGGCACCTTGCAGTGTTTCACCTCCACTTCATTTAAACACGTCGGTCATGCAGTAGATAGCCGTAGCTCTGCTGTGTCCGTGTTTGCGTGTGGTCGTCGTTGTCGGAATGTGTTGATCTTTTAGCAGCCGACGTGGCGACACTCGACTCGAGCGCGAATGAATTTGTTCGAAATTCTTCGGATGAGCTGATTTCATTGGGTCAGGTGTGACTTTATAGCCTGACGCTCAGTAATAGTGATGCTAATGATATTAATAATAAACCGAAGCTGCGTTTTTGTCATCTGGCTTTGTTTTTAACGCAGCACGCTAAAACGATGGCTTGTTCCGCAGGCCGTACAGTCACATCTGGCTCATGAGCTTTCTCCAAACTAATATTAAAGGCTGTCAGTGTGTGAATGCTTTGTAACCTTTGGCTTCCAAGGTCGAGTTATGCCACTGTGTCTCTAAACAGCTGCTACTGCCTTGCAATGTCTCGCCAAACTTGGGAACATACTAAGTCTTTCCCATGAGGACAGTTGGAGCGCTGTAGATGCTGTTTGGTTGTAGCCTCTGTACGTGTTTTCCCAGCTTTCCTTTAAACAGGAAAGATAACCTGGAGGGTGTTGCTGTGATTTGACGCAACGCCTTTAGACACACAGGAATGTTTTTTT